AGTCTCCCTGTTCAGCCAGGCCAGTCCTTTCCCCACTGCTCACCTTCTGGCACAGGGACAGCTGCTCCTGCCTTCAGTACTTCCTTCTTCAAGTATGTCCATCCCTCCTGGACCCCTTTGTTTCCAAGGGCTGTTTCCACACTTTGAACCAAAGCTTTGAGCAGGCCAAAGTCTGCTCTTCAGAAGTCCAGGGTAGAAGTTTTATTGATGGCCCTTCCTGCATCCCTGAGTATCAAGAACTCTATAATTTCATGGTCTCTGTGCCCCAAACAGCCTCCAACCACCACACCTCCCACCAGACCTTCTCTGTTTGTGAACAACAGGTCTAACAGGGCCTCACCCCTGCTAGGCTCATCCACCAGCTGGAGTAGAAAATGACCCTCTATGCACTCGAGGAACCTCTTGGACTGTCTTTTCTCTGCTGTATTAAATTCCCAGCAGTCATCTGGCAGGTTAAAGTCACCCACAGGAACAAGGGCTGGTGATTTTGAGCCCTCCACCAGCTGCCTGCAGAGTAAATCATCACCCTTATCATCCTGACTGGGTGGTCTGTAACAGACTCCACCAAGATGTGTGGAGTTGTTGGCCTTCCCCCGATTCTGACCCACAGTCAATCAACCTCGTTGTTACTGACCTCAAGCTCCACAGAGCCAAGAGACTCTGACATACAGAGCCACCTCTCCTATTGCTTCAGGACTCCTGGGGTAAACCTACACTGCCAGTAAAATGGGTACACACCTACACTGTTTTACTATCAACCATCTCTTGGATTTCACTTTGGACTCTTGTCAGCTAGTGCTCACCACTCAAGGAAGAAGACATAGGTCACATCAGTTACTTCTCTCCTTTCTCCACTCTCACAAGAGGATATAGATGAAGCTACATCAGCTATGACTTTTGCCTGTTTTATCCAAAAGCACACAACCAGAGTTTCAGTCTTGATCTCACAAATTATTTCTGACACTTTGAATGAGAAAAGCACTCCAAAAATAGCAACTTCCTAATGCCACAGGAGAGTGGAATCCAAGTCCTAAGTAGCATCTGTGCCAAAGAGAATTAGTCCTCAAAATATGGAGGTGAGCCAGTGCACACCAGCTGGCTTCAGGACCACACACCAACCCTGAGGGCTGCACACAGCCCTGCCCGTATCATCCACCATCCTTCACACAAACACGGGTGTAAGTGGGGAGAGGAGCAGCCCTGCAGGGAGGGACCTGGGGGTGCTGGTTGGCAGCAGCTCTGCAGGACTCAGCAGCAGCCTGGGCACTCAGGAGGGCAAGGCCCATCCTGGGGTGCATCCAACCACCACCACCAGGTCAAAGGGGATTATCTCTCTTGACTCAGCATTGGTGTGGCCTCACCCAGTGTGCTGTGTGCAGTTCTGGGCACAGAAATCACACTCAGAGCTGTGAAATTATAACCATGTAGAACTGTAGGTATGTACACTTACTTCCAAGCCCCCAGACCAGCCTGCCAACGGTCTGCAAACATCAGGACTAAATTTAACACCTTCATTATAGCTTCTTTCACAAAGCTCACCTAAAATAACAATTAAAACACAAGGAGTAAGTCAGAAATACATCGTAAATCATAACAATTTTCACAATGACACTGCCACACAAAGCTATCGCATGCCATTTAATCTGACCTGTAAAAAGAATCTCCTAAGTACTGTGTGGTTCTTCCAAATTTAAGATATGAAACACATTTGTTCTCCAACTGGTTTCATGTCTGAGTGCTTCCACGAGGACTGTGCACACACAGTGTGTGGGAGAAAAGGCCACAACACTCCAAGTACCTCCATTTCCTGCCATAGCACTATGTATAACCCTCCTCACATTACTAAGCCTCAGCTTGTTCAAAACCTCCCAAGTCTCAGAAACAAATGAGTCATGTAAAATCCAATATAAAGGACTTCATTTTATCTTCTCTGCTTGAGAGAACTGAAGTGAGCCCAGCAGGGGAAACTGGATCTCAGTGTTAACCCTGCAAAAGCTGCCACTTCTCAAGTGTGTGTGACCTGCAAAACACACAGCAGAAATAGCACTAAACTCTTTTCTAGTCCTGCTAAACACAACATACCAATTTTTACCCACCTTTTCTCTCAGCAAGCATCGATCATGGATTGTAGAGAGGTATCTGTAATGAATCTTTATCAATTGATCTAAATCTTTGGCTTCTTCTACTTGATGCTGAAACTCCAAGCCAGTACTGTGAAGAATCTTAAAAAGACAACCACAGTCATTAAATTCAGTGTTGCACACAAGTGATTATGACTTTCTTCCAATTTATCTTTTAAGAGCCTAAAGTTGCATGATTTATTCACTCCTCTCTCTCAAATTTAAGGCTCAGTCTCCAAATTACCACCAACAGCAAAAATGTCAAGCTCTTCTCATAATTACACACCATTCCTCATACAAATAGGAATCCTGCCACTACAGAAGGGCAGACAGATTGTTCCTGGAGGAGCTGATCTGGAACAGACTAGTTTTATTAAAGACCAAAAAAGGCAAAAGCTGAGCAGATATGAATCTACAGGCACTGCCTTTACATTTCAGAAGTCATGTACACACTGTGTACTAGAGATTTCTGAGAAGATTCTGCTTAACTAAAATATCTGCAGCAACACTTTTGTAAGCATAAAAGCTCTTAGGAGAGTAACAGCTTACAAAAACCTCTTTTTACATGACTGTGCTCCAGTCCTCTAGCACTGGGAGAAACAGTCAGAAACAACTAGTAATATCCAAAGATAACTCCTATGTATGTAGAACTTCTAAACTGATTTAAACCCACCAAGTTAAAGCTGAATCATGTCTAGCTCACAATCATTTTGCAAAAAGGACATTAAAAAATAAAAGGCAAACTCTTATTCTAACGTTTTAAAGGAAAATAATACTGCATCTCCAGTTACAAGTCCTTAATATAAAAGAAATGGTGATACAAGACAAACCCTAGTCATGATGTAGTTGTGCAGGCTGTTAACAAAATGCATGAGTTTCACTCTCAGGAGGAACATGCGATGTATTTGTTGTTTTATACTTTCTGTTTGTGGTCCAAAGAGAGGAAGTGTTCCTTGTTCTAACAAAGCTCCTTCCTTAACTTGTGGGTTTTCTGCAGCAGAGACTAGTTCTGAAAAGAAAGAGCAAGACTATTGCAAGAGTGTTATATTGAAGTGTTTATGGAGACAAACAGGAGCTAAAATGTTTCTTAAAACTGAAATTTGTTGTTTCTTATTATTCTGCACACACTACTGATCTATCAGATGTTATGCAACAACACACTCAACACTTTGACAGGATCTGTACAATGCAGTTTGATAAATACTAGAATGGAAAATTTAAGAGCTAAAGATTATGTGAAAGGATAAAACCCCCACATTAAAAATAAATGTGCATACTATCTCCACCCAGGAGAAAAGACTTAAGCACAAAGTCATACCCATAAGGTTTAAACAGCAGAAAAGCACATACTTTTAGGAAGATAATTACTTAACTGATGTTCAAAACATAGATCAATCCATCAACTTTCTCATTTATTTTTCTAAGACATTAATTCTGCGTCCACTTAACATGAGAGAGGAAGAGTATAAATCAACCTGGTGAAAGAAATACTAAGAAACTGCTTTCTATAATTCCCAAATATTTAAAGTGCAGCTTGGACTATGCATTCCTAATGATGTGACTGTTTCAGTCTCAAATGGTGTATTCTTTTCATCTTGTTTTCTTGTCTCCAAGGTATTACTCATAAAAACTTGGACTATATATGAAGCAAAACATTAGGGTGTGGCAGACAGCTCTTCAAACTGCAAGGTCTGTAGAACCAAGCAACAAGTCTCCAACACAACTGACTAGACTTGAATCAAAGAGCCAAAGGGAACCCAGGACTAGGACTGTCCCTAAGGCTGAAAGGAAGAACATGCCCTGCTTAATTCATCTACTTTGTGACGCTAACAGAGATCAGTATCTTACAGAACGAACCAGATCTCTATCTACGTCACTTCCTGCACAAAGCACGAGGCTGTTGATACCCCCAGAGCACATAACAAGCTTATGGAGTGTCTCTCATTGAAGAAGTATCTTACCATCGAATCGTAAAACATCTAGACTGTACTTGGCCCACTTGATTTGCAGTAAGAGCAGAAAAACTTGATTGTAAATTTTTTGGCACTCTAAGCTTATAACTATATCCACAGGCCAAGGAACCTAAGAAGAGGAGAAGATAATCAAGACAGAAAATGTAAGTCACTTCAATATGACATTTCAAATTTGTTCCAGAGTTAAGAACTACAGCAATATTAACTCCCTACCTTGTAGCTCAGTGTCAAACCATCTAAGGTGTGGACAGGGAGTTTCTTCTTTGCTGTATCAACACTTTCAAATGATATAGACAACCTATGCAAGGAAACAAGAGATGTTCTAAATTAGTAGTTAGTTTCTCTTTTTAATAAAGTTTCTTACTTCTCAGTGCCAACTGTCTGATTTAATCTGGAGGACTTGGAGAGCAAAGACAACAACAGCTCAAAACCTCATTAAAACAGAATAACTTACTAAGTACACAATAATTAGTACTGTGCTGTGCAAGTTAAGTACATCAATACAGGTAAGTGTGAAAGAAACATAACTCGAGTGTGTTTTGCACCTTACCTCGTGCTGTCCTCAGGATAGCGTTGCCCAACTGCTTCTTGCAGTTGGACATTTAAGAAAGCAACATTCTGCCAAGTCTCCTTTTCTCGAATTTTGTCAAAAATAGATGTATAGAAGTCATACATGGTATCTCCAGCTTCGAGCAGGAAAAAGTTTCTCATTGCCTGTAAATATTCTACAAGCCTAAACAGGAACAAACAGAACATTTCCTTAGCCTCATCATACCAGTGAACTCAAACACAACTGTTACAGAAGCAAAAATCTTAGAGCTCAGTATTGAACACAAACGTAACCAAGTCCACAGTGAGCTCTTTGTTTAACCCTCAGAGACCTTTCACACCCATTCAGGTAGGACAGGATAACCATGGCATTTTGCCCTGTCAGCCTGAACAGACCCACTAACTTCACTGGAAGTGCCCATGGCATTCAGCTATCTTACAGGTCATTCTCAGAAACAGCTTAAGAGTTGGGAAATCCTGTGCCTCTCCCCACGAAGAACTTAGAATGACAATGCTGTTAAAAGTACTGTTTGAAACAAGAGATAGCTTTGCTGTTGATTTAGATAAACCAAGTTTCCACCCAAGAGTCTGTCATGTTAGATCCCACTTTCCTTCTTAATGATTTTATTGTTGGTTATCAAGTTGGGAGCAGAAACACACCATAAATTTGCTTCTTTTAGTGATGGCATACTACAGGTAATTAAAAATAAGTTAGGGGAAAACAAATCTACTCTCTTACCTATAATCCTTCTTCAAAGTTTGCATCAGATTGCCACAGCATTCCAAGTATTGCTTGTCTATGTGTGGATAAAGACAAGACCTCAATGTCAGTTCAAAAGTCTGGCAGGTCACGGATTCTGAGGATCTATCCACACACACATCCCCACCAGTAAACTTCTCGTGAAAGTCACTCTGTTCCAAATACAATCTTCAAAATAAAACAAAGTACTCAGAGAAGAAGTGCCATTATTCATACAATGCACAAAAAAATGTCATATCACCAAAGATTTTAATCCAAATGGGATCCTCCGCTCCAAGCAGCTCTCCAACTCCCTGCCAGGGCTGGAGAGGTGTGGGATGTGTGTCCTGCCAGGGCTGAGGGAGAGGAGAGAGGGAATGGCCTTGAGCTGAGCCAGGGCAGAGCCAGATTAGATGTGAGGAGAAATGTTTTCCCTGTTGTGGTGTTCAGCACTGGGATATTGCCCAGGGAGGTGGTGCAGTCACCATCCCTGGAGGTGTTTCAGAGGTGTCTGATGTGGCACTGGAGGATCTGGGTTAGGGTTTAGAGTTCCAGCAGGGACAGGTTAATGGTTGGACTCGATGATATGATCTTAGTCCTCCAGCCCTGATGATTCAATGGTTCTAAGATATATGGTGCAGGAGTAATAAAAACTGATTCACAGCTATAGTACATATCAAGCCTGTTATGTGATCCATCATACTGTTCATGTATCACCACACGTAAGGATATCAAATGGACAGCATTCCATAATCACATAATTGCATAAGGGATAACTCTGAGCCACAGCATCAAGTTCAAACGCTGTACAGATTCAATGGTTCTAAGATATATGGTGCAGGAGTAATAAAAACTGATTCACAGCTATAGTACATATCAAGCCTGTTATGTGATCCATCATACTGTTCATGTATCACCACACGTAAGGATATCAAATGGACAGCATTCCATAATCACATAATTGCATAAGGGATAACTCTGAGCCACAGCATCAAGTTCAAACGCTGTACAGCTTCATAAACAAATCCATTTTCATAGGAGCTTTTAAAACTACATTGTGCATATACAGCAGTTAGATGAACTTCCCAGGAAAGAAAAATTAAAGGAAGCAAATAAAAATTAGACCAACAAGCACAAAACAACAAACCAAACAAAAACCACTCCAGACATGAAGAACTGGTTTGAGGGATCTCAAATATGGGGTCCCTATATACTACCTGTAAGACTATATGATGAGGAGAGACTATCACCTACATTTGGTAAGTTTAATTATTTTTCACAGAAAGGATCAAACTATTATAATATTCTGTAGAAAGCTGCTTGTGAGCTGAACCCACTGGAAGAGCAGCTTGGCTCATAGCAGCTATTGCCTTGATAGACTGGGTGAGTCAGACATTCAATTAATGTAACAGTTTGGCAAACGGAACAGTCCTAACGAACAAGGGAAGGAATAGAGTCTTATCTACTATCAAATATGATTTTTTTAAATAAGCTGCTCCTAGGACTGAAATGAAAATATGCAAATGGACAATCAGTGTTTAGGAAAAACATAAATAGCTGTTTTCTCATGTGTAGTCACAAAGTAAGTAAGATTTCCAGCATTTGTCTTTCCTGCTAATTTCCAATCCATTTAACACTTCTCCAGGGCTTCAATCGGTGAATTTTTTTCACTGTTTAACTAAGCACAAGAGGAGTGTGTGTTTAGCTCCTATCACTGATCACTGGTGCTCCTTTTTATTCTGTGCCTCTTGTTTGCAGCAGCAGCAGCAATGAAGACGTGGTGCAGCAAACGTCACCAGGCAGAACATCCCTCTCAGTAACACAGCAGGAAGATTATTCCTTTACCTGGCAAAATTGATAGCCAGCAGTGGGTCATGGACATCATCCAGTTCCAAGTGCCTCTCTGCTATAGACTGCATCTTTATCAGGCTCTGCTTCGTGGCCTGCTGCTCGGTGATGCTGCCTGGGGGAGACTCCTCCCCGCGCCGCAGTCGGCACTGCACCGACTCCAGGAACAGTGTGTACAAACTCTTCCTCTCAGCGTCTGCATGGGGAAACAGCCCGGGGTAAGCTCTTGGTCCAAGACAAAACAGCACCTGAGCTAAAAGAACAACTCCAGAGCCTAACACGATGACGTTTCAGACACTAAATTCAGAAACAAAAGACCCCTCAGACACAGTTCAAATGGTAGGACTAGGCCAATGCCTCAGGTCAGGCATATGTTTGAATGGATTGATGAATGAGTGTCTGGAACAGGAGACATTTCTGAGACTTGGAAAGAACTTCCTACTTCAGGTGCAATGGCAGTTAATTCTTAGCACCTGCAAGCAACCCTTCAGTTTTCACTGGAATAGATGATGTTTTCACACCAAAGGGGGAAATACACTGAGTCTCCAAAATAATGTAACTATCTCGACTTCTAAATATCAACAAAAAGCCACACAAAAAAATTTGTTTCCTTACAAGTAAAATTAAAAAAAATAATAAAAACAACCCCTCACTGTAATCCCCACTGGGTACAGTGTTCTACTGTGTTTTGTAATCACTCAAGATATTCAGGCAGAAGCTTTCCCTGTTCTGGTGGTGAGACCGTGGCCCAGGCTGCCCAGGGAGACTCTGGCTGCCCCAGCCCTGGCAGTGCTCAGGGTTGGGCTGGACAAGGCCTTGAACAACACAGTATAGGGGGAGAGGTGGCAGGAGGGGTTGGGATCAGGTGATCTTTAAGGTCCTTTCCAACCCTCAACATTCTATGATTCTAAGGAAAGTATCCTAGATATCCAAACATCTTTCATGTACTTACAAGAAAACGTTTTTAAAATAGAAATTCCACATGCTACCTCAGAATTACTGAACCACTTAGTAATGGAAAACAACTATTTAATAAAAAAAAAAAATCCAGCTTTACTATTAAGAACCTAATACCTTGTTTTGTCTCGTAACAGCATTTGTTCTGCAAGTACATGAAAACAAGTTCAAGAAAAATTTAACACAGTAAAAAGAAAAGGAAACACTCAATGTTTACTCCTTTTGCTCTTTTCAGTTGTTTGCACTGGAAGAGTGTTCTCCACCAAACCTGAAGCTGCAAACCATGTGGCACTCAGCACAGAGTGCATCACTCTGCAGCCAGGTGTCAGGGTCACCAGGAGGGCTGACAGCCCTGGCACTCACCCCTCGACGCCGCGCGCTGCGGAGACTCTCTGCACTGCAGGTTCTTCAGCAGCTGCATGGATTTTCCAGCCATGATAATCTGCTTTAGCACAGGTTTCAGGAAAGAGACCATGGTGTGCTGCCTGCTCGAAGGGGCCTGATCACTGCCAGAGCTGGCACTGGCATTGTCACTCATCTTCTCCTCGTTCTCCGTTTTTTCCGACACGCTGTACAATGTGTAGGTAGCATACCAAAAATCTCGGTGATTAACTGGAACGTTTTTGTTTCTGTGAAGAAGTAGAAGCTCCTGAGTATTTCTCTTTACAAAAGATGAAACTTCATTACGAGAAGATGTGTATCATTTTTTGCTAGGCTTTGCCTGTCTCTTGGAACAGTCACAAAGCACTTCCAAACTACACAAAATTAACTCACTCCTATCACAAACTATCAAGACACTCTGAAAAGGATGACAGCTTTGGCAGGATAAACAATCAGCTCACAGGGGATAAAACAACTGAACCACCAAATAAACTCCCCAAACAAAGCAAGAGAAGTAATGACAAATTTGCCAGAAGTTTGCTATTCACTGTGACTTGCACACTTAATGTCAAAATGATGAGTGACTGACTTGCAGATTTATTTAAAACCCAAAATTGAAGCAAATACTACTGGGAAAGCTGAAAAATTCTAGAGTAGCTACAGCTCAATTTGTAGTTCACTTTGGTCTTTTGTGTTGTTTACATCAGATACAGTTTGGTCTTTGAAGGCAGATGAAAAACAACCTAAAGTAGATAATTAAAATGAATCACAGCTATAAATACAAGTTGAAATCAGCCCTGTTGGTAGCACTGAAAACACAACTGTAAAACCAAAAGGGAAGTCAAGTAAGACTTAATAAGGATGTCAAATATCTCAGCTGCTAAGGATTTATTACATTCATACTAGAGCTGTTTTCCTCATGCTCACTTCAACACGTCTTAGCAGACAGAGGTTCAATTAACTTCGGCAGATAGGGGAAAAGGGGTTTGTAATTACAAGCCAGAACTCTAATTTCTATATTCACTTTCCACTCCAAGCTGTCAAAAACAGGACCAGAAGAAAAATAAACAGCTCAAAGTTTAGTGTGCAAGTAACCCAAGACATTGGCTGAACTTGTAATACAAGTCGGTAGCAATGAGTACTTGAATTCTAAATAGCATTTGATTCAGAATAACTACAGATTAGTATAGGAATTTAAAAGTAAATTTTGCAATTTTTGCAAGTATCTTGGTTTGGAAAAATGGTGAATTGCTTTTCAAAAAGTCAGCACACTCTGAGTCAGCCTGCTCATTTCTTCCTGTAGATGGAAACAACCAAAACAATTGATTTCTATTCTAGAACTCTACCTGCTACTGTAATTGTAATTGTCTACTGTAATTTCCCTAACAGGAAGTTCAAGATAAGTTATAAAAGTCTGATTAAGAAATTAATTCTTAAGCAAAATAACAAACGTGAAAACCTACCTTTACTGTCACCCTTTGCTTTCTAGGTTCTACAACAGGGTTACCTGCACAACGTTTTGTGTGTCTCTATCAGCATTCCTACCTCTGAATGATAAATTCCTTTGCAGGATCAAACAAATTACCATGGACTATCCACTCATCCACTGTCTGTAAGTATGGCCTCACAGTTTCAACCCAGAGAGAAAACAGAAGGGACACCTGAATTCAAAGGAAAAAGGCAAAATTAGCCAAATGTTTTTATACAACATGGCAAAGTCTAACCTCTGAACTGTGCAATGATATTTTATAAGGTACACATAACTACACTGAAGGATTTTTAAAGATCAAGTGTACAACTATAAATTATAGCCTTAGCAGTTTTAATGGGAGCCTACACTGTGCATGCTTCCACTTGTTACTTTTGTCATCACAATCAGACCCAAACAGCATTTTTTCTCACTTTAATATCTCTTAAACAGTAAGGGATAGTCATAAAACACACTACTTTTATAACAGAAAACAGGAAAAAAAGAAGGACATAATGACATGGATTACATTTTCAGCAGTACAATCAACAGGTTACTATAAAATCCCAACCCCTACATTTCAGCATTAACTGAATTATGCAGCTGTAGAAACAGAAGGAGGCAAAGCTTTTCAAAGCTCCCTCTTTCAGAACAGCTTCCTGGCCTCTTACTCCCCACAGTTCCTCCCCTCAGTCCTAAAAATCACACTGCTGCTGATCTCAGAAACCTGATTTTGTCCAGGCTGATCAAACTCCTGTTGATGTTACTGCATTATGGCTCTCACCCTTGTCCTCAGACCTCTGCAGCTGGTGGCTAGTGTACTCTGCCACCATAAAGAAACTTCAGTCAGTACATTTTCCAGGGTGCTGTTCAGTTAAGGAAGGAACCATGTTCCCTACCGTTTGCTCAGATGCCTCTCCAACACTGTCATGTTCAAGGATAGATTTGTACAGAGTGTTAAGCAGATGAGATGCTCGTACGACATTTCTCGTGTCAGGAGGCACTTCTGCTACTCCTGTGCTGAAAACCTTATGAAGAACCTTCAGCTGCGCCAGTCTGGGAGACAACTTATCTATCACTATTGAAAGTGTGACTGTTTTATCTGAAAAAAAACAAACCAAAAGAACAACCAAGATGTTTAAAAATAGTATCCAACAGAAAATCAAATGTTGTCGGTGTTATCAATTTGTGTGTTTCCCTCCTGCCAAACTTCCCTTGCACTGTACCTTTGTTGATTATGCATTTTTCCATTTCAGTGAGCTCTTCTTTAAAGCTGATGAAATATTTATACAAAGCCCACATGAAAGCTTGGTAGGTTCTGAACGGGGCTTCAGTAGTCTTCTTTGGAGTGGAAACTGTTCCGTGCACCATGTTTTCTGGGCTGTGTCCCATCACCTCATCAATGAACTTCTGCAGCCTGAACACAACTTGGCCATATGCTGCTATCTGCTCCAACACAGACCTCAGGCAATTCTAGAAAAAAACCCCACATTTTAGAATCAGCTAATACAAATTCTATTCTATAAAGCCGAAAAACTGAATTACAACATTATCTTTAGGAATTAAAACTTTACAAAACTCTGCCATCTCTATTGCTACATCACATTCTCAGACACAGGAACAGCACACCCAGTTTTATTATGCCAGATGCTCTTAATTTAGACAAAAGACACAACTGTATAAATGTGATTTTTCCACAAGTAGTTTAATTTCCTATATCTCCAAATTGCATCTTTCTAATGACATATATACACAGCTGAGATTCAGACACAACTTACGTGGGTTAAATGAGTTAAAATTATATCATTCCGCACAGTCACTTTTCCATCATTCAGCTGAAATATAAAAAGCTTTTTCACTCCTGAAAGTAGCCTTGAAAAGAAACAGAAAAGAGTAGTAATCGTCCCCCTTAATGGACTCGTAATTATGTAATTAATAAAGGAATCAGCTCTCCCTTGCCTAGGAGTTTATTTTCTTCAAGTTAACAGACCACAGATCAGGCACAATGCTATTGGCACACTGTTGTTGCTAGAACAAGAACAAGAATACATTGGCATCCAATAAACATCACCTAAATTTTCTTTCCAGTTGAGATAATTTTCAGCTATAGGATGACTCAAACCTTTCTAAAATTGGACACTGTATTAAAAGTCTACAGGGGCAGGACAAGAACAAGTTGGTTCCTCTTAACAATTCAACTTGAAGAATTGATGCAAACAAGAAGTAGTAGGGCACCTTCTTCTCTGTGAACCACAGAATGGCCTGGGCTAGGAGGGACCTGAAAGATCATCTAGTTCCAACCCCTCTGCCACGGGCAGGGACACCTTCCACTAGAGCAGGCTGCTCAGAGCTCCATCCTGCCTGGCCTTGAACACTCCCAGGGATGGGGCAGCCACAGCTCCTCTGGGCAACCTGTTCCACTGCCTCAAATGTGAATGGTTAACACACATAAGCAGTATCTTTACTGTCAGAAACAGCACAAACTAAAAGCTCAGTAATAATTCTTTCTTCAGACAAATCTTCAAAGACAGATCTCATTTCCTTGAGAGGCAAACTGGAAGCTGAAATGCAAGCTTTGGATGCTTTCTTACCAAAGAGTTTCCCGTATAGCCTGAGTTTCCGTGACTAGTGTTCTCTCCTCTGGCACATACAAAGGATCACTGGTGTACAAGTGGTGGTCCCTTGGATAAAAACAAAATAAAGACAATTAAATGGCTGAAATAACAGCTGAATCACCCGAAAATAAGAATAAAGCAATAATCGTAGAATCACAGAATTTAAGGGCTGGAATGGACCTTACAGATCATCTAGTCCCAACCCCTGCCATGGGCAGGGACATCTCCCCACTAGACCAAGGCTCATCCAGCCTGGCTGTGAACACTGCCAGGGCTGGGGCAGCCACAGCCTCCCTGGGCAACCTGGGACAGGGTCTCACCACCCTCACAGGAAAATCCCTAGGCTTCCAACAGTAAAGATGCTTGAAAAAGTCAGTATTTAGCATTGTATGGCAGCAAGGAATCCGTAAGTGACAGTGCTTTCTCACCAGACTGCAGCCAGGTTGGAGTGCAAGTGCAAACTGTGTGAAAAGCGAGGAGCTCTTCCTGTCCAGTACTGAGGCACCACGTGCTGCTCCAGCCAGCTGCGAGCGTCGGGCTCACCCACTGAAAACACAGCAGGCAGGAAGGTATTCTCATTTGTGCAGGAAATGCTTCCAAAACACAGGAAGAGGTTATTAATAGGCCTCTCTGCTCAGCTGCAGAAACACAGAGCTCATCAAATGAGTTACAATTTACAACTATTTACACTTTAGTGCACTCCTAGATACAATGCCACTGCACAAATTCATTTACACAGAAATGCCACATCTCCTGAACATTTCAAAAGTCTCAAAAAGTAAGCTCTACTCTGCACTGGTGCAGCCTCACCTCGAGTCTTGCAAGCAGTTTTGGACACCACAATATAAGAAAGACATAAAGCTATCAGAGTATCCATCAACCACAGAATTTCAGGGGTTGGAATGGACCTTACAGATCATCTAGTCCCACCCAACCCTGCCATGGGCAGGGACACAAGATGGGATGAAGACAGGGCTGAAGATGCTGAAGGGCCTTGAGGGGAAGCCACATGAGGAGCAGCTGAGGTCACTTGGCTTGTTCAGCCTGGAGAAAAGGAGATTGAGAGGAGACCTCACCACGGTCTACAGCTTCCTCATAAGGGGCAGTGATCCCTTCTCTCTGGTGACCAGTGACAGGACCTGGGGGAATGGCATGAAGCTGTGTCAGGGGAGGTTTAGGCTAAATACTGGCAAAAGGCTCTTCCCCCTGTTCAGTGTTGGGGCACTGAACAGCTCCCCAGGGCAGTGGTCACAGCCTCAAGGCTGACAGAGTTCAAGAAGTGCTTGGACAATGCCCTTGGGCACATGGTGTGATTTTTGGGGATGTCCTGTACAGGGCTGCAAGCTGAACTTCAAGGATCCTTTTGGATCCCTTGCAGCTCAGGGTAGTCTAGGATTCCACGATTATATAAGCTTGGAGATTTATGTGGTTTTCAATTCTCCCCTGGAAAATGTGCTCCTGTCTCAAGCAATTCTCAAATGCTATATACAGAAAAGAAGCTGATCTATAACAAACTGTCAATATCATGAGCTTTGTGACTACGTTCCCTTTCACTATGCATTTAGTACATTATCTAAAATGGGTTTTTTCTTAAATATGATGGTCAAGAGAACTTTACCTAAGCCCAGCTAGACAGCTACTGCTTATGCAACATATATCCACAGTTGTTTTGTACAAGGTAACCTGCATCCTACAATATTCTATGCAAAAAATATATAGCCACATTTAATACTCCCTGAAGCTGCTGGGCCCAGTTCTCATTAATATCT